AAGGCAGGAGAAAGGGGGTGTCTGTGCCCCCTGTGTGCAGCAGCTCTGCCCCCTGCTCCGGACAGAGCCTCACGTGTGGTCGTGGAGGGCTGCGGAGAGGGAGCACAGGGCAGTGGCACTGGGACGATGCCTTGGCCACTGCGGTCTCTGTAGGTGGGGGTTTTGGTGCTGCTGGAGCAGCCTGGGTTCCCCTTGCACCTAGGGCTGGCTGGAGCAGGGGGATATGGGGTGTCTCATGGGGTGGCCAAGCCCAGCGAGAGCAGGGCAGGGATGGGACCTGCTGCCGAGACGAAAGGGAAACTGAAAAAGCTGTTGGCTGCTGGTGGTGACGAGTGACTCTTCCGCTCCACAGCCACCGCATGCCAAGCTGGCGGTGCCGGTGCCTGCACTGCGCCCAGGGATGTCCTTTGCCCCGGAGAGGGGACATGCTGGCACAGTCATGGTGGGGAGATCCCGCGGTCAGGGCAGAGTGGTGTTCATGACAGCCCCTCTGGCTTTGCCACCCATGACCTGTGGCAGCAAAGGCGAGGAGAACGTGGTGACTGGGTTGGTGTCCCCATTGTGCCCTGTCCTTGGGCAGGGACAGACCTCGCCGGTGTGGGGTTGTGGCTAGAGCAGAGCACCATGTGGCAAGTGCCGTTCGTCAGGTGCCATGGACCCTGCAGGCACCCACACTCCTGGTGAAACCCCTCAGGTGCAGCCCCAAAAAACAAGGTGCATGTCAGGCAGCTGCCAGCATTGGGCTCTGCCCTTGCTCCACACACCAGCCCGGTCATGGTTTCTCCTGCCCCAGCGCAGCAGGGCACGGGGCTGTGGCATTGAGCCTTGGCTCACCATTGCTCCGGGGGGCAGTAATGTGCTGTCACTGGGTCCGTGCAGAACAGACCCCAGATGCTCACCCGGGGCTCTGTGCAGAGCTGGGGGTCTCTGGGCATCTGGTCTCCCCTCCTTGCTCCTGCGGGATGCAGTGCTGGCTCTTGTGGGACGGGAGAAGCTCCAGGCCCTCTGACACCTCCTCTCTCCCCGCAGCGCTGCTGTACAAACCCATCGACCGTGTGACGCGGAGCACCCTCGTCCTGCATGTGAGTGTGACGCCAGTCCCTGCGTGGGGGGCGACCCGAGGCTCTCCCCCCATTGCTCCAGGGGACCTGCGGCCGTGGGAAGGTCTCCAGGGTGGGTGCTGCAGGCAGGGCAGTGCCCTGGGGCACCTCACCTGCGCCTGTTCCCTTCCAGGACCTCCTCAAGCACACCCCGGCCGACCACCCTGACTACCCGCTGCTCCAGGATGCCCTCCGCATCTCACAGAACTTCCTCTCCAGCATCAATGAGGACATCGATCCCCGGAGGACAGCAGTCACCACCCCCAAGGGGGAGGTGAGCCACTGGGGTTGGCAGTGCCTGGGCACAGGGTGAGGGCTGAGCCCTCTGCCAGCCCCTGGCTGGTGTCTCCACCCTGAGGAGCTCCATGGTGCTTGGCCAGGAGATGGAGGGTTTCCTCTAGACGCAGTCCTGGGTGCAAGGTTAGGGCTCTACCTGGTCCTTGCCGCTTGCTGGCACCCTACTGAGTGTACGGGGCTCAAAATAACACCCAGAGGTCATGGACCTTCCCATGCTCCTGGTGGCTGAGCCATGGAGAGGGACAGGAGCATCCGTCCCCTGTGGTTTGTTGGCCTTTGCTCCTTGCCCGCTCTCACGCCAGCCCTGCTGCCCTGCAGACCCGGCAGCTTGTCAAGGATGGCTTCTTGGTGGAGCTGTCGGAGGGCTCGCGGAAGCTGCGGCACGTCTTCCTCTTCACCGACGTGCTGCTCTGCGCCAAGCTGAAGAAGACGGCTGTGGGGTAAGGAGGGCGCTGGGCACGGGGGAGAAAGTGTCACAACCCCCCCATCTTCCAGTAGGTTGGGGGACGTGCTGGGGAGGGGGTCAGGCATCGCTCAGTGCCCACACCCTGGCTGCAGGAAGCACCAGCAGTACGACTGCAAGTGGTACGTGCCCCTGGCCGACCTGGTGTTCCCCTCGCCGGAGGAGTCGGAGCACTGCCCGCAGGTCCATGTCATCCCTGACCATGAGCTGGAGGACATGAAGATGAAGATCTCGGCTATCAAGAGCGAGGTGCAGAAGGAGGTGAGAGGAGGGTGCGGGTGGTCGGGGAGGGTGTGGGACCTGCTGCCAGGGTGAGTGCCTTCCTCTGGGTCAGGGATGGGACAGGGGCACCTGTGAAAGCTCCTGTCTGCTGCCCACCTGCAGAAAGCCAACAAGGGGCAGAGCCGGGCCATCGAGCGCCTCAAGAAGAAGATGTTTGAGAATGAATTCTGGCTGCTTCTCAACTCGCCTGCCATTCCCTTCCGCATCCACAACCGCAATGGGAAGGTGAGGAGGGTGGGCTGGGGGCCAGGCTCAGCCCTGCCTGTGCACAGCCTGCTGCATCGCCCTCTCTCTTACAGAGCTACCTCTTCCTGCTGTCGTCTGACTATGAGAGGTCTGAGTGGAGGGAGGCCATTCAGAAACTGCAGAAAAAGGGTAAGTTTGGGGCTGCCAAGGCTCTCTTGGGGCTCCTGGCCACCCAAGGGGCCACAAGGAGGTCCCGCAGGATCACAGCCTGTTGCTCTCCGGTCCCCATGACCAGCACTGGCTGCATCCCTCTGAAGCTCCTCTCCTGTCCTCCCCCAGACCTCCAGGCCTTTGTCCTGAGCTCAGTGGAGCTGCAGGTGCTCACGGGATCTTGCTTCAAGCTACGCACCGTCCACAACATCCCAGTCACCAGCAATAAGGACGGTGAGTGTCCGCTGGGCTGGCAGGTCCCTCTTTGCCTCTGGATGATGCCGGGGAGAAGCTGTGGGGTCCCTTGGCTGGAGCAGAGTCCCTGCTCGGGGACCCTGGCTGTGCAGGGGGACAGCTACCCAGCAGGTGGCACTGCCGGAGCAGAGTCGGGCTTCCAGGCAAGAGCAATCCTGGCTGCAACATGGGGCTGCTTTTGGGGTCTCTCCAGCACCCCCATGGGCTGGGCAGGACCAGGATGTCCTTAGGGCGAGACCCAGCCAGCCCTACTGGGAACCTGTCCAGCAGCAGGAGAGCTCGGGATGTCTGGCAGGGATTATCGGCAGTGGGGGATACGTGTGTCCTCTTCCAGACCTTAGGGACAGCCCTGCCGGGGGGTTGGGGACATTGGGGTGTCACTGCAGGCACCTAGCGCTTGTTATGGCAAAGGCTGCCTTGGGGATGGCCAGCCCACACGCTGGCCCCGGGGCATGGGAGGTGGCAGCCGAGCTCTGACACAACCTCTGCTCTCCCCGCCACAGATGACGAGTCCCCTGGGCTCTACGGGTTCCTGCATGTCA